AATTTTTCGTTTATATTGATGTGAAGCATAGCATTCCTGTGGAATTGTCAGATGACGCTACACGACTGCTGCACCGGACTGGAGTACATTGACTCCTAGCTTAAAGATAGAGACAGGTAGTGATTAGGAGTTTGCGGAGCGTGTTGACCACTTCACTTATTTCGGGGAGTTGTATCAGCCAACGCCAACGGGTTGGTCGCTGATGAGATCTCAGCACGGATACAGAAGGCTCGTCTCTGGCTAAGTAGACGTGATATCCGACTATCGACCAAAGGGCGGGTGTACTGCTCATCAGTCCGCTCCGTCCTCCTGTATGGTTGTGAGACCTGGCCACTCAGAGTGGAAGACATGAAAAGACTAGCTGTCTTTGATCATAGGTGCCTGCGTTCTATTTCCCGTGTAAAGTGGCATAATAAGGTGAGCAACATGGAGGTTAGGCGTAGAGTTCTAGGTAAACAGGGGAAATCAATCGACGAAGTCGTGAAGCTACAAAGACTGAGATGGTTAGGACATGTGTTACGTATGCCAAGTCATCGCCTCCCTCGACGAGCAATGTTAGCGGATATAGGGTCAGACTGGAAAAAAGCTAGCGGCGGTCAAACAAAAACTTGGCATCAGTCAATGAAATCCACAACAGTTGGTCTAAGCCACGTAGGAAGGTGTAGACTTCCAGGCTGGGGTCCTCGAGACGGTAAAAATCTATGGTTGGAAACAATTGGTGACATGGCTCAAAATCGTTCTCAGTGGCGCAGATGCATCCACTCCTTGTGACTTATGATCTCCAATGAAACTGTTTTGTATTTCTTTATTACTCCTTTGTCTCACACCTCTGCTCACTGTTTCTATTATGCTTTTCTTGTACTTTCTTCTCTTGCTTCGCGTGCTACACGGAATGTGGCGACTTGAACTTCCGCACATTTGTGCAAAGTTCTATGTCGAAAACAGACAGACAGACAGAAACAGTTAGCATGCATGCGTACAAAGCCAATTTGTAGTCCAATCGACGATACTAATATACTAATGTTGAATGTAGCGACAATTCCTATCATCCAATGAAACTTGAACATGTGAATTTATTAATTTTTGTTTTTTGAATTATTATTATTATTACTTATTATTTTTTCACATTTTGGCACTTATTCAGTCATGTTATCTGATGATGGTGTGATATTTTTTTCCCATGAAAAGATGTCATTTTCATTCAAACACTAAAACACAACGGGTATTTTTGCGTCAAACTTTTTGTCTGCTTTCTTTTTTTTCTTTCTTTCTGTTTTCGTTTGAATTGTTGAGATCAGTTACACTGTCACCTATTGTAAAATGATAATTTTGTGTAAGAATTTAATTTAATTTTTCGTTTATATTGATGTGAAGCATAGCATTCCTGTGGAATTGTCAGATGACGCTACACGACTGCTGCACCGGACTGGAGTACATTGACTCCTAGCTTAAAGATAGAGACAGGTAGTGATTAGGAGTTTGCGGAGCGTGTTGACCACTTCACTTATTTCGGGGAGTTGTATCAGCCAACGCCAACGGGTTGGTCGCTGATGAGATCTCAGCACGGATACAGAAGGCTCGTCTCTGGCTAAGTAGACGTGATATCCGACTGGTTATTGACCAAAGGGCGTGTGTATGTGTGGGCTCAGCAGTCAGCTCCGTCCTCCTTTATGACTGTGAGACTTGACCATTGAAAGTGGAAGACATGAAAAGCTAGGCTAACTGTCTTTGATCATAGGTGTCTGCATTCTATCTCCCGTGTTTAGGGTGAGTAATATTGAGGTTAGGTATCGAATGTTAGGTAAGGGGGAAAGTAGGTCACTGAGGTAGGTATATTGTGAAGCTACATCTATTGAGGTGGCTAGGAAATGCGTTACTGCATGCCCAGTCATCCATCCTCTTCCTCAACGAAAGGTTGGAAAAGACCTAGTGGTGGTCAAAATAAAACTTAAAATGAGCCCATAAAATCTCTAACAGTTAGTTTGAATCACGTATGGAGGTAGGTGTAGACTACCTAGTTGGCACCTCGGGGATTCTATGAACAAATGGTTGCTGGTAATTAGTGTTAAGGCTCGAAATATTTCCCAGTAGTGCAGATGCATTCACTCCTTATAGTCTGCCATATTGTTTTTCAATGTTGTCATTTCTTTCTTCCTTAATTTTCTGCTTGTTATCATACTTTCGAGTCTATTTTCTTTTTAATTTGTCTGTCTTTTTGCGCTGCATAGAGTGTGGCAACTCGAACTGGTTCACTTCTTTTTGCTAAGTTCTGTGTTGAAACCGGCTATTCTGTAAATGCTGGTTTTCTTTTAATTCCACTGTTGTTACTCTATTGAACGTTTGTGCAGTAGTAGCAGTAGTCTTTGAATAATGTTCAGATACTTTTTGTCTACGACAAAAGACATTAGTGTCTTGGTGTATTTTAATGTAATTCCATTATTTCTACTGGAGTCTATTATTATGTAATCTTCCTAAGAATGATGTGAGTCCATACTCTAAGATAAAATGGCTTAATTAAAAAGTCAGATTATTATTTAATATGGGTTATTGGCAAGCGTATTTACACTTTAGAGTTTCATAGTAGGCTGGAATAATTGCCAATATGTGTATTGTGGCATTAATAAAGCCTCATCTGAGATCTGAGTTCTCATTACTATCATCTATTCACCTTTATTTGTTTGAACATTATTATTATTGTTCCCTTGGGTTCCTAGTGGAACATAGGGATTCAACTGCACGTCTCCACTTGCTTCTCTCTTCCTTCTGCTGTACTTTTCAACTGCATCCATGTTAGTCCGTACTGTTTCAACTCCTCTCTCTTCACACGATCTCCTTCATGTCACCCTTGCACTGACGTCCCACTCGCCGCGTGCTTCCCTTTCGGCCTAGTTCCACTCGAGCAATGGCCTGACGCGCGCACGATGTCACCCAGCGGCGGCCTCCTCAGCGAGTGAGTGTCCAACCCATCTCCACGTTCTGCTGCATATTTGCTGGTTGGCGATTGGTTCTTGTTTTGTTTGTTCCCATAGTTTCTTGTTGGTGATTCTTTCCGGACCGTCCATCTGATCTTCAGTATAGAGCCAGCGAAGACAGCTAGTTGTTGATAAAGGTCTGGTCTGCAACAGGCTGTTGGTGGAAATATTCCTTGTGACCCGACCGCCATGTTTCTGATCCGTATAGAAGAATTGACTGACTTGACGTTTGTATTGAAAATCCGACCGAATTTTGTTGTTGATGCTGACTGAGTGACGAAGATTTCCAGATTGGTTGTTTCAGATTGATGAATGTGTTTCTCGCTTTCCCGATTCTCGCTTGATTTGACATCCTCATCCGTTCCGACATTCTGTAGTTGAGACAATGCTCCCTAGATAAGTGAGTGAATGAAGTAAGCTCTTTCGAATCCCCCCGTTGATGGTGATTGGCGCTGGATGTTTCTGTTGTTGTTGTTGGTTGGTTGGTTGTTTATTTTCATAACCTCCGTCTTGTCTATGTTCACATGGAGTCCAATTTGTCGGTTTTCGCTTGCCCTCAATACATTTAACCCTACTCCGAAAATATGGTGGAGATATGTGGATGACACTTTCACAGTGTTAAAAACAGAACATATCTCTTGCTTCTTGACACACATAAACTCACAAGTTGAGGGAATAAAATTCACATTTGAATCAGAAAATGAACAAGGAGAATTAGCTATGTTAGATTGTAAGATAAAAAGAATAGAAGAAGGCAAACTACACACTAGTGTTTATAGAAAACCAACGCATTCTAATAGATATTTAGACTTTAATTCGTCTCATCCTTTAACTGTTAAGGCAGGCTTAGTTAAATGTTTAACAAACCGAGCAGTGGCACTAAGTAGCACAAAAAAAGATCTAAATGATGAATTAAAACAGATAGAAGAAGCGTTGGTGTTGAATAACTATCCTATAAAATTCACTAGGAAGATCACTAAAGGCCAAAAACAAAATAAAAATAATTGTGAAACTAGTAATAATAACATAAATAAGAAAGAATATAAGTCATCCACAGTTATACCATATAAAGAGGGGACATCTGAGACCCTACGTAGGATTCTAAATAAAGCAGGAATTAGGGTGGCATTTAAACCTACAAACTCACTCAGGGACAAGCTCTGTAGGTTAAAGGACCCAGTTGACCCAATTAGACAAAATAATATTATTTACAAAATACCATGCAATGACTGTGAGGTCAACTACATAGGTCAAACTAGTAGGTCAGGGGTAGTCAGATTGTCAGAGCATAAAAATTTAGCTAAGGTAAGAATGGTTGACCCCGAGAAGATAAGTAATTTAGAAAAAAGCTCAGCAATTACAATGCATGCGCTAACACACAACCACACAATAGGGTGGGATAGGGTTAAAATTCTAAAAAGTAATCTAGGTAGGTGGAGAGAGAGGTTGATTACTGAATCCTTGTTCATCGAGTCTACATCCAACACATGCAATAGGAATGACTCGTCACTCATGCCTGAAATATGGAAAATACTATTACCAATCAAATCAAGTGAAAATCAAGAGAAAAACAATGGAACTATATAAATGAATTTAGGAAGTCGTGTGATTACCTTGATATGATTATGAGCAATAAATTGTGCTCAAAACGTGGTCATCAGTAAACATTACTGTATAACACTGTGTGACTTTATCAAAACAAAATTTACCCATAATGGAATTACACTCTACCACAGTGCACAAGTTTTATTCTTATAAAAATGATATGTTGCCTGGCCCTTGTTTTCTGTTGTTACAGGTACATAGGTCGTTGTATTTGCGTCCTTCCAAAACGTGTTAGAGGACATTACCCAGCGTGGCTGCAATGAGGAGGCACCGGTTCAATCAGAAGTGCTATTTATTGAACATCTGACCAACACCTCCCACAACATCTCAACTAAATTTTTGTACAAAATCAACATTATTTTTCCTCCACTTTTTTTCTCTCGTACCGTTAACCTCCGATTTTTTTTTGTCATTGCTTTTTAGTTACCTGTCAATACACATGTTAATGGAGTACATCTACCAGACACAACATGCAAGTTTAAACCGAAAAAGTGTACATGTGATCGTTCATTTTTATCTAAAGATAATGAAACACCTACAAGTATGGATACAATGTCGTCATCAGTTGGCGAATCATTGAATTCAACAACAAACACGCCTAATCATCATTTGAATGGGGATACAGAAGTCATTGATATATCAAGCGATGAAGACGAATCAAATAAATCAGTCAATGGAAATGAATGGTCTCATCTACTTACAGGCGGTGTTGGTGATGTTGGTGGTGATGGGGATGGGGATAATAGTTATCCGAATTTTTCGGGAAATCGAACACGCGTTAAACGATGCAGTAAATGGAGTTGTGGACCAAGAGGTTATCGTGTTCTATCACTCGATGGTGGCGGGATTCGTGGACTGATTATTGTACAGATACTTCGAGCTTTAGAAATTGCCAGCGGGAAAAAAGTTACAGAATTGTTTGATTGGATCATTGGTAATACTTCCGTTTTTGTTCTTTTTTGCTTTTTTAAATATAAAAACTCTTTTTGTTCGAAATTAATATGAGAATACGATTGTGTAATTTGTTTTTCATCATATGAGTAGCATAAGCATAAACTGAAAGGGATGTATGATGAATCATATGTTTGTCTTAGGAAAATTTGGTGAACCTGTAACAGTAGAAGACAGCAGAAGTATTCGATAACGGAATTAATTATTGTCATCTTGGTATATATATATCATGGTGCGTCGGTGGCACAGCGGTTAGGACTCTTGCCGATCATGCACATGGTCTGAGGTTCGATCCCCTGCCGACCCACACCTCATATCTATGGTCGGCCTGCAAAATTTGGGCTACCGATATCGCATGCTGAAAATTCCATACCTGTACCAGAAAATAGTACGGTATGGAATCAAGCTGTAATAAACACATACTCAAATATGCGAATCGATAAAAGGAACACCAAAGGGATCATCGCCCATATCAAAATTAATAGCTGAAGCCGCCATGCAGTGATTAGAATCAGTAACTCTACCTATAATTAAACTAAAAGTCTGGGTACGTTACGTTGATGATACATTTGTAATAATTAAAAGAAATGTAATTTGATATATACACATAAATAAGTAAACAACATATTAAAGGACATCAAATTGACAAGAGGACAAGAACTAGGTAACAAAATCCCATCTTCAAATTTCTCAATCAGGAGAACTAACACAAGAAATTTAGAAACACAAGTATATAGAAAATCAACGCAGTCACACTCACAGATCAAATACTCAACCGTAGTAGCGATATCCCAATTACCCACAAAAGAAACTGTGTGCAGACATTGTTTCAAAGAGTTCAGACATACTGTAGCACTCTTGTGTTGAAGCGAATGCAGGAAAAATACCTACTAATCATCTTAAAAAAGAATCGATATCCTCACAGTTTTATCAAAAAGTGTTTAAACTCGAAGTGATAACACCAACAGCAAGTCAAAATTAAAGACCACAAGAAAATTAATCCTAGCATATATAAAAAATATCTCTGAAATAACAGCTAGAAAATAAAGATCGTTTGAAATCGATATAGCACACAAGCCATGCAGCACAATCATTTCATTCGATTATTGTCCAAACTAAAAGATAAAACAGAAAAAGAAGATAAAATTAATACTATTTACAAAATAAATTGTATGAGGGTGTAACAGAAATTTTAAACCGAGGAAACCTTAAATGTGCCAGAGAATTCCTAGAAGCCTGGTACTCAAACGAATATGCGAATAACTGACATGTTAATATAAACGAAAAAAAAGTAAATCATCTAACGAGAAGGTTTACAATCCAAGTCAATAAAAAGCGATCAATACAGATGTAAAGATGGTTACCAGGATTTCATCAATGCTTAAAGAAATTTAGCATAAAATCTTGCATACTGCATAACTTTTTATCTCTGATCTCATGTCTGTTCATTGAATAAATAAGTCAATTCCCAATGAGTAATAATCATTTGCATATTGGATATTTAAAATTTTGATTGTTTGGCCTATTCGTTAGGAGAGTAGATGAACGCCTCGATCAACAACCCTCTAGGGTGAGTTCGTCTTTTGCTGAATACTGATTCTTGTATTTACGAATACTGAAACTAAAGTGCCCTATATTCTTAATTCTCCTATTAATGTGTATTCCCTGAGAGGATGTTCTTGATTGAGATATGTGGAATTGTATTGTGATCGCCCAACGTTTGCTTTTCTTACGATGATGAAATTTGTGCACTTTAAAGTTTCTCATTTGTGATCTAAATACTTCAATGGTTAAATAAATATACAAGTCCACTTTAATTACCTTAAGCTATTTTACAAGACTTTTAGAAGCAACGAAACGTATAAAAGAAGAGGAGGAGTCTTGTCGATTACATTCAACAGTTCTACTCACATTTTACCGCTTCACAATTTACTTCTCTTAACGTAGGTAATGCTAGATAGTTGGAGGCATTCTTCATTCAGGAAGCCCACTCTGAACTAGGTTTCTTGCTTCTTGGCACACACACGCACACACCAGTCACCCAGGTATGTATCTATCTCCAACCTTGTAGAAATTCATGTCCTTCCTGGGATTTCAACTCGTCTTACCCCCAGTGATACAGTCAGAGACGTTACCATTGAGCTATTCTGTGTAGTATTGACTGTATTGAATACTTTGATTGGTTTCAAGTGTTGGTTTGTAGGGATTTGATTAGTTACAGGATTTCATCGTGAGCTGACATTAGTTAGAGGACCATTGGAAAACCTGGGAGTACTGGATAGTGGTCTCCATCGTCCTAATTTGGGACTCTTCAGCACTACGCACCCACCGGGGTTCGAACCCAAGAACTTCTGGTTACAAGGCGAGTTAGCTCGTATACCATTAGGCGACTGGGATCCGATCCAATGGACAGCCCATGAATTCTAACTTCTGCCAATTCACTACATAGCGTGACCACTAGCCAATGTCTTCGGCGATTATTTGTTCTCACACCCGACCTGGTGCACCGTACTGGTCACGACTTCTCACTAGAATCCCAGGCAAATATCTACCTGAATAGGGCAAGTCGCCAGTGAGCATCTCATCGATATTCAAGTGTTGGCTTGTAGGGATTTGATTGGTTACAGGATTTCATCATGAGCTGACATCAGTTAGAGAACCATTGGAGTCCCGGTGGGTGTGTACTGATGAAGAGTCCCAAAAGAGGATGAAACAGCTGTCCAGTACTTCCAGGTTTTCCAGTGGTTCTCTAACTTATGTCAGTTCATGATGAAATCCTGTAACTTGGATTGGATATTAGGTTTTCACCACTGGCTAATGCGTCTAGTGCTTTGTTTAGCGTAGACTGAATTCTGTCACAGTCAAGTTTGCAATGTGGCCACCACCGTGCCACTGGGTACTGGGTAGGTGGCATCTGACAGCAACAATTCTGACTGCACTGCACCGTGGTAGCGAGCCAGTAAACAAAGGACGATACACACATGGTACTAGTTTAATTACTCTCTATCTAGTGTTCAGTCAAAATGTAGTAAAACTTCTTTAATTAGTAAAAAATGATATTTGTAAATAATATCACCCTGATAAATTAGTCAGAAAGTATGTAGGGAAATGTAAAGGTAAAATAAACAATGATAGCAGTGACAGTGATAATGATAATAATATTAAAAATAACAATCATAATAATACTAATATTAATTATGACATGCATTTCAAACATACACAGGATAATAACAACATCAAAGATAAGGAATCTAAATCATGATTAGTAATTCTATACAAGGAAGGAGCCTCAGAAACCTTACGCAGAATTCTTAACCATGTTGGCAGAAATGCAAGTGGCTGGTATTCAATTACCCACAAACTCAATTAGAAACATGCTGTGTTGGTTAAGGGATCATGTGGAGCCTTTAAAACAAGACAATTTACTTCATCTAATACGCTGCCTGCAACGACTGTCAGGTCAAATACATAGGTGAAACTAGTAGAACAGGGTTAGTCAGTCAGTCATACTAGCGGAGCACAAAAATCAAGCAGCAAAATCTAGATTAGTTGACTCGAATAAGATAGGAAATCTAGAGAACAGTTCAGCTGTAGCACTGACTGCATGTAATTACACACAACCATACAATATAGGCTGGATGGGATAAGATGACAGTTTTAAAATCTAATGTTACAGGGTGGAGAGAGAGATTGGTAAGGGAAGCTTTGTTTATCGAGTCAACTGAAAGAGAGAGAGAGGATACGTGTAAGAGGAATGATCCACCCAGATATCGGGAAAATTCTACTGCCTAAACGACGACAAATAGGCGAGAATAAAGAAAACCAGAAAGCTCAAGTTTCGAAGTAGTGTTATTTTGATTGGCGATATTATTATGAACCGCAATAAACCTTGTCATCCAGTAAATACTAATACTGTTTCACTCACTGTGTGATACATTTAATAAACAAACTAATATCTAGTTGTCCTGGGTTCAGGACTTTTTACGCCTGTGTCGTCCATGGACAACCGTGTAGTCTCATAAAACCTTAAAAACACGAAGTGCTGCTCATAGCTTAGGACACACACGCAAAAAATACACCGGGTAAATGACTGACGTTGATATTTTTTTACTCGAGCGTTTTAATACTTTTAGCACTCATTACCAGCATTAGTTGAGTGATTCTAACCTCAGTCGTACCGACTGTGCTGGTATATACGCTTAGATGTTATTGTATCTGAAGGAAACACATTGGTCTACTATCTGATTAGAGGTAATCGTTTAAAACTAAGTGTTATTCATTGCAACAATCTAAGCTGCCTCTTTTTAATTCCTTTCCATTCCGACTGGGACGCAGGGCTTCACGTTTTAGCTTTGAAATTTCAGTAGCAGTGGTATTTTGTGTAGGCGGATACAATTTGCATATAGATGATCTGACATTCAAGAGACAGTCACAAAGAGATGCAAGCTTAACCTTCTGTGACAAACAACCACCAATCAGAAGACTGTGTTTTTCTGATAACAATAATCTATAATAGTGTACATGAAAATCTATAAATATGTGTTGATTTCCTTAATGAAGGATCTGTTATCTGGCGCACACTTTTCTTACAGACCACTTGAATGAGTCCAATGTGCTAGCTAGCTCGATAGTGAAGATCGAATGGCCAGGAAGGATAAGCAAGCAACAAGCAACTGTGGGAACGAACCAACCAAGCAGCTGTTGCTCAACAAATATGTAGCAGGAAATGCAGGTGGGTAGGATACTTATCAAACGGTTGGGTGACATCGTGTTCTAGATCGGTTCTAAAGTGGAACCGGAACGGTAAACCATGGGGAGGATACAGAAAAGATCGTGAAAGGCGGAGATGAGAGACTATCGGCAATCGTGGGACCATAATTAAGAGGTAATACTTCTATGGTGAGATCTGGCTGCTAGCCATAATTGGTGGACAGTAATGTACATCAATCTTTATGTCCCTAATATTGGTCGTGAGAAAAATGAGAACAAAGACTTTGCGTGGGCGGTTACAATTAGCATATAGATGATCTGACATTCAAGAAACAGCCACAAAG